GAAAACATCCTCCGCAGTACCCATTTTCTTGGCAACGAGTGCATTTACTACAATCATGAATATTGTGAACTGAACACGCGTTGCAGTAGCCAAATAGACACCTACTACATGTCCATCCACTACAATCATGAGTATTCGAAGTTTTAGATGTCATGTTTGAGTTTATCAATGATTATGGTATTTATCGTTATACGTTACCGATATGTATATGTGAAAGCCGTCGTTCACTTCTATTTGTGTTTGTATCGATTTATGTACGAACTACGTATGCCCATTAAATGATGAAGAGTAACATGCATGAAAAATGACAGGACGCATAACGATAAAATGTAGTGTAGCAACATAGTGTAACTTCTGAACTTGCGGCGAACCAATCAGAAGTTCGATATTATCATAATTTTTTATTCACTGAAAAGGAATCCAACGTTATTTCGGATAACAAATAACTTGCATGTATCTTGGGAAGCCAAGAATTCCGGCGTATACGACAACTACATGTATTTTTCATCTTCAAATTCCTCGTATAATTTATTTGCAATCGCAATTCGCTTAGTTCTAGTGGATCTTATCAATTATTCATGAGCCTTTCGTAGTTAATATGGAAAATGAAACTTTTTTATTAGAATAATTCAAGAAATCTAAACATTTAGGTACCATAATGAATTCGAACGAAGTTTCTCGATACATGTAATTAGAATCCAAATAAACATACATCAAATTTGGAATTTTCAAGTATAATCTGAAGATGAAATACTTGTGTGTGAATAAAAAGGTGAACACCATAAATATGGAATTGCATTTTGGTTCCGGTTTACTGGGGAACAAAAATACAGTGTCTGCGAAGAGTAATGCTCTTATTTTATATTTTTTCTCTATTATATTTGTGAATCTCATAATTACGAAAAAAATGAACGAAAAAATATATTCAATTCTTGTTTGTTTATCAAGGGGTTTCTATTACCGTTTACAGGGCTATTAATTGAAGAAATTGCATCATGAATCTGAATCTATCTATTTGCGGAAAATCAATTGGTTTTACTACAAAAATTGAGACTAAACTAAGATTTTAATTTTTCTATAGAGGTGATTTGAAATACAAAGAATTAATTATGTCCACCTTCCTGGCAATTATAATTTTAATCATAATTTGGACGTTAAGCTCGTTGATGACAATCTTGACAATCTTGACACACCCATCGCCATCGTCCATTATTTAAAACCACGCGTTGCAATCCTCCATATTGCCGCGCAGGATCATTTTTTTCAAGAAAAGCCTGAAATTCACGAAGCGCAGGACCACGAACAACATTCATCCTAGCTACAGGATCTTTCTTTGCATTTTCGATTTCGTGTATTTGTTCAGGACTTGTCGTCGCTTGATCGAGTAATTTGGTCAATTGCTGGAAATATTCGGTTGGTCTTGATGTTCCTTGACTGATTAGTCTATTGATATTATCTGGCATTTTTAGTTGAAGGAAATGATTAACCTAGAATAAAATAACCAAGGAAATCAGTTAAAATAGTATTATAAAATATTAAGAAAAAGAATTAACGTTAATTACCCCTGCACCAATTAAAGTTGCTACGATCGAAAGGTAAGGACCAGCCTTTGCCAACATAGGTTTAGGATCATGAATTGGATAGCCACCGTGTGTGGTAAAATGAGCTTCCCTGTTTCCAGGATCAAGTCCTTCGCATAAAACATGTAGAATAAAAGTATTTTTTCCCCAAGTTTTAGGGTAGAAAATCGTGTTCGTTTCTCCACCCGGTAATAAAATATATAAACGCGGAATAGCGGCATCCATAGTGTCAGTTATGCTATTTATAACAGCATTGACAACTGTGATTATTTTTTCAGTTGATTCTGATTGCCAAACAGACAACTAAATGGTTTTAAACATAATACTGTTAATGACAATACGTAAAAAATTTCATATAAAGAATGAATGATGATTACCTGTTTTGTATCTAGACCAGAATTTAAGAATGCAGAACGTAGAATTTGTTCACATGAAATTCGATTTGATGGTTTTATCGTAAGAAGTTTCTCTGACATATTTCTCGCTTGTATATCAGCAATTCTGTTCAAAGGTAAATCTATTAGCTGGCCATGTGCATAACTTCTTGTTAATTTCTCGATCGCTTCATCTGATGAATAGAACAATGGGGTGTGTGTGTATAATTCATAGATTATACATCCTAAAGACCACATGTCCATTGAGGTTGTTGCTATTACCGGAGACTGTGTTAGTGCCGAATGTAATACTTCGGCTATTTATAGAGTAAAAACGGAAATATGAGATTCGAAGAATAATGAATCATTAAAAATTTATATAATTTAACTCACGTGAGCAGTATAAAGGTGAGCAATCATCGACTGTTTCCTCCCCAACAAATCTAGCAGCCTCAAAGTCAATTAATCTCCTTTGGGTGATCCAAGAAAAAATTAGATTCTCAATATCTTTGCCATTCTTTATTAAAGATTCACTTACCATTTGGAGACATCACCAGGTTCGTGCACAAAATTTCCAGGTTTAATATCCAAATGAGCAACGTTATGTATATGCAAATAATGAATCGCATTTGTTAGAGACTTTATGATAACTTTTATAAATAGCATGTCCATCGAGGACGATTCACTCAAAATAAAACTGTCTAAACTCTGTGGATAATAATTCAAAATAGAGACAAAAGGCCAATCGTTTTTCGAATGAAGTTTGTACGATGCTAAAAATTCGCCGACATGACGAGAGCGAAGATATTTGAGCATAACAACTTCTCGCTTAAAAGATTCGAAATTTTGAAAGAATTTAATCGCCACTTGCTTATCAGTTTGGTTATCGACAGCCTGGCGTATCGTGTTATTCCCGCCGTTTGTAGATTTTCCTCCTAGTCGATACCGCCCTAAAATAACAGCGTCAGTTGGAGCTGATGGTTCCGTTTCATTTACGTCAGGTTTATCATACAGCATGGTGGTGAGTTCATGACGACCAAAAACTTCATCTTTGTATCTTGAACCGGCATTTGATGGATGAATTTTTATCGAATGCCGCTGAACTAAATGAGTGATATCTGAGCTCGAATTGTTATCGGATTCAGATTTTAGTGTTGATGAAATTGATATAGTTGATGAAATTTTTATGTGTGGATCTGCTTTTCCAACGGGTTCTGGCTTTGATTTTCTTCGATAATACCAAAATCCAAAGCACCCAATAGCAAAGATAACAACGATTGCAACTCCTGCTACGATGTAAAGTCCTGTAGGTGGGTTGTTAGTCGAGCTTCCAGGATTGCTTCCATCTGGGCTGGCTGGCTTGGAAGAATTGGAATAATATGGGTCAGCTTGATTAGGTGCTAAAACAGCACCACCGGGGAATCGATCCACTGGCAAAATTATGGGCACATTACAAACATTTACCCAAGCACGCTGCGTCATATTAAAAATTGCCAGGTCGTTTGTGAATCTGGATCCTATGATACTTGTATTGAATGTGTCAAAGCTTTTTTTACTTACACCACCATATGTCTAGTGAAAAAAAAGTTAGTTCCTAATTAATAATATCAAAATATGTGATAATATTTCTCTAATACTTACAATTAGTACATCACTTCCAGCAAATTGAGAAGCCGAATAATCATCGTGACTAATGCCTTGTGCTATTGAACCATTCTTAAAGACTGTAAAAGAATTATTCATAAGGTTCTATATAACAGAAATAAAGTTTGAGAATATTTCTAAAGAACAGAGTTACGAAATTCTCGTTTTGAATGTAAAAAATCTCATACCCAAGCTCCCATAATCGAATTTAAGGAACTCGAACCAGCAGAAACAAAGAAAAATGTATCATTTAACTTTCCGGGCCAAGCTCCAGCAAAATTGTCTCCTGGCGAAACATTTGGTTCATACCATGTGCGCGTGGGTATATTGAAGGCCCATATTTTATTGCGAGAATACGCATTAGTAGACATAGTTAGGGAGCCACTTACAACAAAGATATTATCTTTGAAGGTGACTAGAGGAGAAAATGCAAGCGCGGGGGGTGCATATTGCTATAGAAATTCAAATTTAATCGTTAGAACAGACAAGCAATATTTTAATAATAAAATACATTAAATAATTTACCGCTTCACTTGTAATATTCTCCCATGTCATATTTTTAAGATGTAGAATATAAGAATCTTTCGTCAATACAGTATCAAATGCACCACTAAATACGAATATTATTTCGTTTCCAGTCGTAGTCTTTACATATATTGCACTATGACTATGTCGACGTGCTATTATAGCACGTGAATCAAGCTTAGTTGTCGCAACATCAGTCCTAAATTTTTAGTTTACCATTGATATTTAGAATATATATATTTTAGAAAAATAAGATACCAAATGTTAAATGTACCATTTTCCATTGGTTCCTTTTGTAAGATCATACACGGAAACGCCGTTAAAATTTGCATCTTCCTTTCGTCCACCACCGATTACATAGAAAAGACCATTCTCAGTCACGACACATGCGGGACTACTAACATTATGAGCTCCGTCGGTTGGCATAGCAACCCATTTTTGATCTGCTACATTGAATGGTGCTTCGATATAACTAAACCAACTATATACTGAATCATTCCCATCACCACCATATACATAAAAACGATTTCCGTAAGCTGCTGTGCAATGGTCTCCTCTCGGTCCCGGTTCAAATTTTGATTGAGCGTTGACAGATTCCTGCTTAATTGTTAGATTGAAAAATAAAATGTAAACTAATAAATTGAAAATGAATTTTGACGATTTAGTGAGTTTATATTTGCTTTCTAATGACGAAAACGATGTCCGATTTTCACGCGAGAAGGAATACATTTGTCAAAAATGTGTTAATAAAATGATGTAAAGAGTGAGTAATTTGAAAAAGTATTTGGTGCAGTTTGCACCTTGAGAATAATGAGGATAATGTAAAGAGATGTGTATGTGCAAAATTCATGTTTATGTTATTTCGAATGCCATTTTCGTACTACGTACAGTAATTTTTCTTTTTTAATATCGATATAAATAGGATCAAACGTTAATATTAACGATAGCAACACAACAAAGAACGATCCAGAACAACGGAGTTACTGTAAATAGAAATTTCAATAAAATGTAGTAATATTTTATGTCCTATTACTAAATCATTATTGGATAATACTAAAATAATACATGGGAATAATATTATAATTTTAATACATGTACATGTATCATACATGTAGATTGTAGTCAAATTATAATGTTTCGCAAAAATAGAAAGTTCCGTAAAGTACATGTACATGTATTCTTTGTTCACCGAAACCATCCAAACCCCTAATTAGCAAACACTTCGTTGATCAAATTGAGTGAAACTAGTTTCGCCCAAAACACAAAAGAATTTATAGATCCACTTAAGGTCTCATTATAGCAGGTAAAAGATTTTTAACTGAGTCACCAAAAAATACTGAGTGAGCTCTATCCAAATTCTCAGTTTTTTTATACCAGTAAGCGGCTTTCCGAAAATTCTGTTTCATTCCGTTTTCATTTAATAGCATTGACCAAGCTGTTATCGTTTGCCGCAATTGAATACGATTTGAACGTTTTATCATAATCTTCTACTCCGAATCCAGCTTAGTAACAGAAGGCAAACTAATGATGACCATAGGCATATCCAGCTTTGCTTTCTGATAAAGTGGGTCGCTTTTTCACTGTCAACTTCTGTTCCGATTCCTATTTGATAACTAAATCCCAGCTTTATTTGTCAAGCTAGTCACTATTGTTGGATGCTTCTGTGACTAGTCTAATGAATATTTGGCTTATAAAAAACTGACTATTACTATTGGACTTGAACAATTGGACCATTTGACGATTTGAATTGACTATACTGTCAAATTTCTATTATCATTATTAAAATAAAAAGAGCAATGATAAAAATAACTTTGGATGATGTTGTTGCTTTAACAAATTTTCTGATTCAATTTTCTTGAAATGGCCAAGATGTTTTCGAGATCTTGATTCTTTTTCATTGTTTTTTTTTCGCTTTACAGCCATTTGCAAATTAGATGGCTGAAAGGTTCGATTAATTTCGTTCATCGAGAATACAAAGAGACACACAAACTTGCGGACCCATTTAATTGCTCGATTTCAAAAATCCTGTGACACGCAAGTTTGTTTTTTGTGAAAGTTAACAATTGTTTCTATGTTAACGTTATGCATAAAGAAGAGCCATTTATTATTTAGATCTACAATTAATTTTTTTCCAATAGTAATAGCGATAGTGATAATGTACCGGTACACTCTTTATAGAGAACAAGAGCCGTTTGTTATTTAAACATGCATTTGACTTGCTAAAAGAAGAGCATTGCTTCCACATGTGTGAATTACATGTAATTTTTTTATTGTTATGTATGAAAATTGATATCAATATCGATACTATTACGTACAACAATCGCATATTCCAAATACGTACGTACATATACATAAAAGAAAAAGTAATAACGTATAAAGTAAGGTGATTACTTCTTCTAGTAAAGCGTAATATTTTCTTTTGGTATTGCTGAAAAGTTGAAACTGATTTTAGTCATTATGTTTATACTCTAAGATTTTTTTTATCTCATTTTACATCAAATATTTGTTAGTACTCTTATAAATTTATTTTATGATGTACTATCGCTATCCTATCACTATTGCCAAATGTATAGATTTTTACTATATGTATGAATCAAGAAAAAAATTAACAAACTCTCATACTCTTTAACACTGCGAACGATTGCTTACGATTCTGCAAATAAAACATGATTAATTATTTAGGGCAGCCTCGTTTTCCAAAGTTACGTATATCATAGTAACTTTTTCAGCTACTTTTAAGAGGTTTATAATAAATAACTTTATAAATATAAAAATCAAATAAAAAGTTTTTATTATTGTAAAACTAAATTTGACTTGAGCCACAAGATCATAAAAGTCAGAATCTCTGCTCTAAAAATACAAAACAAATCAAGTATTGTTGTAGCATTTGCAGTACAGTTTCTCTATGTTTTTGATACATTATAACAATTCTTTGTGTCTTGTATAAACAGGTTAAAGCTAAGAAATCTAGTTCATCAATCAACAGTTCAAGAATATTATAATAAATAGTAAAAGCCCAATGAGCAAAAAAGAACTTTTCAAATTGTCGGCAGAATTTGTTTAGCAGATGTAGTATTGGGAGTACGCATTGCTGTTCTTATTTGGCTCATTAATAAGTTAGTTCCGTTTGGCGTGGTGTTATTTGTTGATGAGCTAATTTCAATTCCATCGGTAACTACTAGAACTGATTACATTCCAGCTGCAGAATAATCTTCTAAGTAAATAGTAAAGTTTGTTATTTCAGGTCAGGTCTGGTCAGGTCTTCCAGTGTTAACTTTTAGTTTTAAAAAATAAAAGATCAAATTTATAACTTTCCTTTCTTTGCAATTAATATATAACATAAAATTAAAAACTTACAATTTTTGAAAGAGTGCAATAGC